TATGAGCACTGGTAAAGCGGATTTGCAAAGCACCAGCAATAATTCAGTAATCATGTAAAATCAAACTCCTCAGTCCTGTTAGCAAATCAGCTGCTTTGCATGTCCACTGTGAGGCATTCTGGGAAATGGAGGGAGTCCTAGAACTAGCCTCTTTACACATCAGCCCAAGCTAACTAGCTTAGTTTGCTAGTTATGCAGAGAAAAAAAGTTCCCTAGGCTGTGAACTACCTGCCCTCCCTTTTGCAGTGGAATCTTTTGAAGGTTAAGTAATAGTAAATAATCAACTAAGATTTCTCAGATTGGCTGCTTTTACCTTTCTCTGAAAAAATTTTTCCCCGTGAGGACGAAGCAACTTTGGAATGAGAGCAGTATTTCCTTTTTAGCCTCCCTGCTTCAGCCACCCAGAGAACAAGATCAAGCCGGGCCTGACTGGCAGGGCTGCCTGGGGCAGGCAGCTAGACTTGCCATGTGGAGAGGGGAGGTGAGTTAGAATTTAACAGAAGAGGGGCAGGACGGGAGGGGAGGAGGAGAAAACTCCCATTCCATTTTGTAAGTTTCTGCACAGGTCCATCAGCAAGAAAGGCAAGCAGTGCCTTCCTCCATCACAGGGGTAAAGAAAGTCAGGAGTCTTTCTTTAATAATAATATTAAAAAGAAACAAGCAACACAAGTAATACACAAATAGGTAGAGAATAATGTAGAAAATCTGGCCTTGATGTCTGGTGACAAGTCGTGATGTTATGATGGTTAGCTCAGAAGCGATGACAGATAAGTCCATTTGTATGCATCTATATTACAGATGCAAATAAAACTTGGACTGATGTGAGCTGGGAAAAAAATATTCCAAGTGAATCTGTATTATTTACACAATGTTAAAGGAGAGGACCTTATTTCTTTTGGCCAGGGTACATTGGTTTATATTTTGTTCAGGGTCCACTGATTATGTTTATATTGACTATCCATTCAGCAAACATGTATTGAGCACCTGCTATATGCCAGTCACTGTGCTAGGTGCTGGAAATGCACCTAATATTATAGGGCTGACAGCATAAAGGATAAAAATGCCTTTGAACTTCACAAGTAGGTTAGAATTTTACATTGCCCCATCCATCCCTTCTCTCAACAGAGCACAACCAGAGCCAGCCACCTGCCTTGTACTGTGATTTTTGAAGACCATAACAATTGCTGTTCAAAACAAAAGTGTGTATAAAACATTGGTAATGTTTTGTTAAAAAGCCTTATTATAAGCTCTGTAGTGAAAACTAGAATACCTTTAAATATTAGAAATCTTTTCTCTGCTGCTAATTAATAACAACTCTGGACAAATTTTTTAATTTCTCTCGGACTAAGTTTAAACATTTATAAAATGAGTTGGTAGTTTGATTTAGTGACTCTGAGTTTGGGATAAGCAGTAAGAGGAGGTAGACAGCCACTTACTAGCCACTCATCTACTGTAGGAGCTCAGGGTAGTTACATAAACTTCTTAAAGTCTGTTTCCTTACCTGAGAAATGGGGATAATGTGATATTTGTTGTGAGGATGAAATGGATCAATGGGTAATGCAACTGGTTCAACACAGGGCATAGTAAAAATCCCCCCAGTGAATACAGTTATTCCTAGTTTACTCTAAAATTATTTGAGTCTTAGGTATGTATCCCTGCCTCTGTCTCTATGTATCTATCATCTATCATCACTGTTCTCTTATTAAGTTGTTAATTGAGGGATCTCAACATATTGGGGCACAATCAGATAATGGATTCTTTTTTTTCAAATCAGTACTTTCTATGGTGCTATGTGTAATCCCCTTTAACATTCCTCAACAACATTTCGGGCAGATTGTAGAAATCTGCAGTTTTTAAAAGCTAAGTACATGCAGTTTGAAACTTATTCTGGTTCACAGCTCTCCTCTCTCCACCTTCTCCCAGGCTCTGGCTTCTCCTGTGTGGGGGCAGGGGGCGGAGGTTCTCTGTGGTTCTCGCACCACTGTGGGTGCTGTGTCTCAGACTAACACTGCTGGCATGTTGGTACCCCTGTGTGGTAGGCGCCAAAGGCTGGTGGCACATGCTGTGTCTTCGGAGGTCGCTGTGATGCTCCTGACCACATAGTTCAGTGACCTGGAAAACCTGGGCCTGGTAGACTTCCTCTACCTCCTCGGCTCCTGCCCTGGCTGCTACCCTCGGGCCTGTTACCTATGGCTCTACCTCTCTAGCATCCAGCGGGTGTCTCTATGCTTAGGTGTAATTTCATTGATATTTGAACTGTGTTCCAAGAATGCAATTTTTGCCTTTTAGATGCACAGAGCTCCCATAGATGTCTACTACTGGTTGAGATACAGTTATAATTAAATAATGGCATGAGGGGCTACATCATCGTCTCCCTTTAATCCCAGCAATTTATTTGTCTTTTCATTAGTTCAGATTCAATCTCCTTTATTCAAAACAAGTAACCACTTTGTGTATATACACTAGTCTCTTTGTGTATATATAGTAATCTCTGTGTATATTTAATATGTTGGTATATATAATTTTATGTAATACACTTATTATATTAGATGATATACTTCTGTCAGAGAAGGAACGCTTTCCTTTAACAAGTTTTAATTGAAAATGCTCTTATCGACTACACATATAGTAATATATTTATTATGTTATTACATATAATGTGTTTTAATATTTCTATATATGTTATATTTAAATATATATTTATATATCAATAAGGTCACTTTCATTCAAATTTGTTAAAAGAAAGCGTTCCTGCTCTGACAGAGTTAAGAATCTAGCTGTTCATCTCATTTTATCTATATTTTAAATTTATGTCCCAAAACAATGATGTATCCATTTCTTTCAGAGAGTATTAGTACATCTATAAATTTTCTGGTGCTTTAAAAAAGTTTCAAGAAAAATTATGACATAACTTACATAAGACATATGAATTTTAAGTGTTCATTGTAATGAATTTTACACACAGGGTGGGGGCAAAAGTTTACATTTGCTCATATGGAAAATAATACAATAATTAATAAATAATAATACAAGAATGAACTCTGTGTTTTACATAATCACAACAGGATGAGCTATTGGTTCACCACTTCTATTCCATATCACTTGGAACCTTCTCAGGAGACTTATGAATTGTGTCTCAAAAATGCCTGCCTAAGCCTGGCCCATATGGCTCAGTGGTCGAGCCTTGACCCATGAATTAAGAGGTCACCAGTTTGATTCCTGGTCCAGGCATGTGCCTGAATTGCAGGCTCAATCCCCAGTAGGGAGTGCGCAGCAGGCAGCTGATAGATGTTTCTCTGTCATTGATGTTTCTATCTCTTTATCCTTCTCCATTCCTCTCACTCTAGAATTAATAAAACCATATTTTTAAAAAGCCTGTCTTAAAGACAAAGAGGGAACTATGTATCGTTAGCTTCGGTCATCAAGGTGGACCCATAGCACTACTTCTGGGTTATAATGTGTTAGCGCCAAAGAGTTTTCCCTAGGTACACTGCACCTTGCATAAGAGAAGACCTGGGGCAGAATGCAAGAGGTGAAGGGGGCCCCAATAAGTACTATCAGATTACACCTATGGGAACCCGGACAAAGACCACATGGAACTTGATGCCATAGCAGTGGCTGCAGGGAGAGATGGGGTTGAGAGAACGTGAAGTGGTGTGTGACCCGTATCCAATACACATACCAAGAATGTTTTGGTAGGTAGACACAGGCTGGGAAACAGTTTTCCAGTAACATGCCTCTTCTTGCAACAGAGATTTCCACCCGAACTCAGGCCTATTCTGCTGCTGGAGTTCATGTCCAGGCATGTTCGCCAAGTTAATGGAGTCTATTTATGTGCATCAATATGCATGAGTTCTTTGCTCTTTTCCTGAAGGAAGGGAAAGGGAGTTTTAAGTAAAGGAGCCTTAAAAGAGATATGGGAGAAATGGAGGGAACCATATGGTAGCCATCCCATGACAGGGTTTAAACTCTATGGAAAAGGAGGATCAGGCAGAAAGGGCAGGATCTCATTTAGGAGGGATTCAGTACCTTGATACCTGGAAGCACAAACTCTTTAAAGGCCCTAAATACAAAGTGTAATAAAGAAGTAAGAGAGTTGGGCTTTCTTCCCACTCCTGCATAGTTCCATTGGGCAGATCAAATGTTTATAATGCAATAAACATATATGTTGTTCCATGTGACCTGGTTATTCTGCACATTTAGAGACAGAAAGTTTTTTAAAATTGATCTTTATTGTTGAAAGTATTACAGATATCCCCCTTTATCACCATTGACACCCTTTATCCCACTTGCCAACCCCTACCCCAGGCTTTCACTACACTAGTGTCTGTGTCCGTGGGAGCCTGACAGAAGGCAGCGTTCATGTCTCTTATGGGGGATCAGGGAAGTCATGGAAGAATTCCCACAGTCTATGAAGGGAGAAGATCATTGTGAAAAACTGATTGAAGTGTTCTTGAAATGATGGCTTTGGTTTGCTGGTCCATTGGGGAAAAGCCTTGGGAAAAGCAGTGGGAACCTATACTGAGGTCGACACTGTGCATGGTGTATACCAGTGATGGCGAACCGTTTGAGCTCGGCGTGTCAGCATTTTGAAAACCCTACCTTAACTCTGGTGCCGTGTCACATATAGAAATTTTTTGATATTTGCAACCATAGTAAAACAAAGACTTACGTTTATGATATTTATTTTATATATTTAAATGCCATTTAACAAAGAAAAATCAACCAAAAAAATGAGTTCGTGTGTCACCTCTGACACGCGTGTCATAGGTTCGCCATCACTGGAAAAGCCAGTCACAGCCCCATTTGGTCTTGTTTTCTCATATTATGGAGCTATACAACGGAAACACCAGCTTTCCCAGCTTCCCTGGCATGACCAAGTTTGGCCAAAAAGGGTAAAGAAGATGTAATCTGGTGGGTGTCATGGGAAAGCATTTATAAAGTGGACACGCTGGCATGCTTACCTTGGGCTTCCTCTTCTCCCCCTTCTTCCTACTTAGGTTGAACACACATGATTGCTTATGTATAGCAGCCATCCTGGACCACGAAACCACCAAGAATGAGGATATGTTTGTGGGATAGAAGAGGATAAAGACAGAAAGAGCCTGACATCATCTGGCTACTGTGAAGTTCTGGACTTCTCTTCCCCACATGCCTTGGACATGAAAAAAGAATCCATGTTTGAGTAAAAATCACTGTTTGTCAGATTTTCTGCTGCTTGCAGCTAAATAAAATGTTAACCGATAAAGCTGCATGTTAGAAACACTGAATGCCATTCTAGAGAAATTGAAATCTATATATGTATAAAACCCAAGTGACCAGAACAACCAGAACTACGGGTCGCTATGATGCGCTCTGTGGCTGGCCAATGGGCTGGATGGGAGTGGGGCTGGCAGTCCAACCTCCCACAGCCCCTACCTCCTGGTTGGCCGGCTCCCATTGGCTCCAATCAGGGCGGGCTGGCCAACCCCACCTGTGCACAAATTCATGCACCGGGTCTCTAGTTTATTCTATAAGCACAGATGATAAAGAAAGCTCTTTACATAGAGGTTAGGGAGATGCCATTATCAGAAAACCCTCTCCATTTGCGGTTCACTATCCATGCCCTTCCAAGCTCAGGTCAGTCTCCCACTATTGATGGTAGCTTCTGTCTCTTCTCTTGGCCACTTTATCCTCCTTCACTGTTGGGCAATGATCAAGTATAGCTTAGTGACATGGATTGTTATTAATTCTTTATAGATTTATGTTATGCATCCCAATCCTCCTATATAATAAAAGGCTAATATGCAAATCAACTGAATGGTGGAATGACTGGTCGCTATGATGTGCACTGACCACTAGGGGGCAGACGCTCAACACAGGAGCTGCTCCCTGGGTCAGTGAACTCCCACAGGGGAAGCGCTGCACAGCCAGAAGCCCTAGCTGGGCACACGGCTGGCAAGTGCAGCGGTGGTGGCAGGAGCCTCTTGTGTCTCTGTGGCAGCTCTAAGGATGTTCAACTGCGGGCCTAAGCTCACAGTTGGACATCCTCTGAAGGTCCTCAGACTGCAAGAGGGCACAGGCCGGGCTGAGAGACCCCCTGAGTGCATGAATTTCATGCACCCAGCCTCTAGTAGAACTATAAGTGCCTAGTAGGTAATTGGCCATGTTTTATACTTCCTCTTTCTTTTAAAATGCTTGGGCTGGAAAGAATGACATAGTGGGATGGTGCTCAGGCACTGGGGTCTTGGGTTTGAATCCTATCTCTATCATGAAATATTTGTAGATCTTAGGCACATTTTTAACTTCTCCAGGCCTCAATTTCATCATCTGGGCAACAGAGATTGATAGTAGAACTTATCTCACAGGATTATTGTGAGATTCAAATGAAATATTTTTTTAAATGAATTCCTTAACATTGGGTTAGTTACCATTACATATGTAGCAGATGGAGTGCATTAATGACCATCCTGTATCCTGTGCTTTCCAATGTGACTTTGCAGCTCTTCCCATCATGAAGTGGACTCCATTCTCACCCTTGAATCTGGCTGGCCTTATGGCATTCTTTGGCCAATAGAATGTGGCAGATGTGGTACTGTGCTAATTTTCCATCTGGTCCTCAAAAGGCCTGGCACATTTCCCTTCTCTCAGGACCCGCCTTTGCCATAAGAACAACCCCAGGAAAGGTATTGGAGGATGAGTGGCCTTGTGGAGTAGGACAAAATATTCCCAGTGGAGGCGTTTATAGACCAGCCAATCTGCTAGTTGTCTACAGTGAATCCAGCTAGATCAGAAAACCTGCTCAGGAAGCTCATACACTTAGCAGCAACAATAAATGCTAACTGTTTTGAGCCAGTAAATTTCAGGGAGGTTTGTTATGTAGTAACAGCTAACTGATATGTTTCAGAAGACAGAGGAGGGACTTTGCTTGTATCATCCGCTGCCCTATTCCCCATCCCTAGAACAATGACATACACAGGTGCTTAATATATTGTTAAGTTTCTGACTTTAATTATGATTGTTATTATCATCTTAAAGAGTCATAGTAATGAGTAAATGAGACAATGCGGGGAAAGAATTCAGCATTGTTTCTGGCACATAGTGACTTCTCAATAAATGTTATGTATCAATGGGGTGATCAATGATGACTGGTTAATTGGTTAACACATTTTAATTAACATAAGACTAGCTTATGAGCAATGCTATTTTAAGCCTAGTGAATGAAGCATTCCTTTGTCTTTTTGAAGACCTAACATTAACCAGAGTTGGATTTTCAGTTGTAACTTTAAATAGATAGGTACCGTATTTGCCGGCGTATAAGACGACTGGGCGTATAAGACGACCCCCTAACATTTCCAAAGAACGATCCATGGAACCCTGGAGCTCAGAGCTAAGGCGTCAACCTCCTACAAACTACCTTATTTACACCACTGGTTTACTCTCCTCTGCTATTTGCCCAGCACCAGGCCACCATGTGCTGAATACCCAAGTCCTCCCAGTACACTGCTTCTTCCCTTCAGTTGGTGGGGTAGCCTCTTCTCGGTGGCACTACTAGTGACCCTGGGGGTAGCTGGTGTGTGGGGGAATGGGAGGTGGAGCTTGAAGCCTGGAGTAATTCCTGGGTAGCTGCACCATGGAGCTGATCCTGCTTGCTAGCTCTGCTTTGCTCTTGTGAAGAGGCATTTTCATCCTCACCCCCCACCGAGCAGAAGGCGCACGCTTTGCCCAGGAAACTTGGAGAACAAAATTCCACAAGAACGATCCATGGAACCCTGGAGCTCAGAGCTAAGGCGTCAACCTCCTACAAACTACCTTATTTATTTTTCTGGTTTACTCTCCTCTGCTATTTGCCCAGCACCAGGCCACCATGTGCTGAATACCCAAGTCCTCCCAGTACACTGCTTCTTCCCTTCAGTTGGTGGGGTAGCCTCTTCTCGGTGGCACTACTAGTGACCCTGGGGGTAGCTGGTGTGTGGGGGAATGGGAGGTGGAGCTTGAAGCCTGGAGTAATTTCTGGGTAGCTGCACCATGGAGCTGATCCTGCTTGCTAGCTCTGCTTTGCTCTTGTGAAAAGAGGCATTTTCATCCTCACCCCCCACCGAGCAGAAGGCGCACGCTTTGTAATCTCTCAGTGACCTCATTACTTCCCAGATTACACCTGACTGCTGGAAAGATAAACACATGGTACCCTCTCCGTGGGACTCATTATTTCCATTCTGAAAACTGTCATTTATGAAATTCTGACCTTCTTTGATTTTGTATTTACACTAGGTAGCTAAGAATATTGTGATTGTGATATTTTGAAAACACTTGTCACAAATCGAAGCCAAATGCTGATTAATGTTATGTGTTTTGGAGAACCAAGCTTTGGCTCATTAACTGGACTTTAATGGCATTACCCATCAGCTTCAAGTCCTGGTAATTTCTCATCACAGATTGGTGCTAATTTAGTAATAACTGTGCTGACAGATTTGTATGTTTTCCCCACATTGAACATTTTGCATATGTAAAGACTAGTGTGAATGCTAGACCTGAGATTAGACCTGGTCCCAGATTTGCCACAATGTGACCTTGGGCAAACCAGCTAACCTTTCTTGTCTAAGAGGTGTAGATGAGATTATATTTAATATCTTTCTTTACCAAGACTCTATGGTGTCAATAGTATGTAATTTTCATCTTGAGTGGCACAATAAGCAGATTCGTTTTGGGAAAGGCACAAACATTAGGCAGAACTAATATACGTGGAATATAAGCAAGGACCAATTTATTTCCTTCTTCCTTCTCTGCCGTCTTTTCTATAATAAGAGGAAAAGAAATGTTCCCTGATGGGCTTGCAGGATAAGCCCATAATCAAATATTGCGTACCATCTGTTTGAGAAAGTATTTGGTAAGTCAAACTTAAGTAGCTATAATCACTGTGGAATCTGAAACTGTTTCCTGTTATCCTGTCTATTTTCTGAAGCAGATGGGAAGTAGTCTAGCTTCTTAATCAGGCACAAAACAGTAATAATATTCCAAGGAAGAAAGATATTTGTTTTGAGGTTCATACTTTGAAACTACTTATTGAATTTGCCTTTCCTTTTCTCCCTAGTCTCCCATTCTTTTACACTGCTTCTCCTCCTCCCCGTTCTGTGTTAAAGTTACCTACCCCCTCAACATGGCTTACTGCCTTCCACTCTATTCCATTCCTTGGCATTGTCCTTGGGGATTTTGACATACGTATTGATAATTGTTACCCTGGCATTAGAAGAAGGTCAGTCTCAGAGATGTTAATGATTGGCTCAAGGTTGTATCACTAGTTTATGCCAGTGGATGATAGATGGTCATGAGGATTAATTGAGACAGTGTATATTGAGAGCCTCATGGAGTGGGCTCAGAAGGTGCTTCCCAACAGCTGTCAGAATCATGGAAATACAGAGCTTACTCAAGCTAATGTCCTGCTGACAGTAACCCTCAGCTCTGACCATTTATTTCCCTAGTTGGAGGATTATGAAAAGAGCTTCAAAAGCTGCCTTTCAAAAGCTGTTTTTTCCTTCCAAAATGAGACACATTTTCCTAAAGGCCCCCTTATTCTTCTACTGGCTGAGTAACACACCACCTTATTCTATTTGAAAGGCCAGGGTCATCCTCTGGAGCCATCAGCCCTTTCCTACAGGCTGGGGAAGTGGTGCCAGTAGAGCACAAGGCAGAGACTGACTTGAGTTCACCTCTGGGCCAAGTCCACAGGGCTGGGTCACTAGGATATGGGCATCCCCATAAGTCACATGACTTCCAGGATATTAAGTGTCATGTAAACAAAGCTCCTCCGCTGCCGTCCGAGTGTGTTGTCACCTGTCAGAAGGTAATGTTTACTTGGTGTGGAGACAAGCCGCCACATCTTCCTGGAGCCTTTCAAGTTCTTCAGTCTGATCCTGGACAGCAGTGGAGTTGCAATATCTGAAATCATGAAGGAACATTGGTGGGAGAATGTGGGGTTATTGGGAACATGACCTCCTGGACTCGCCTTGCACATTTGGGCATAGTATGGATGGGTAGAGGTCTGGGATCTGCCTTTCCATGGTAAGAGAAAGGTACTGGGGCTGGAGAGAGCCTGATGGTCTGGTCTTCTTTACTAAGTTCTGTGGTATGCATGGGGAGCACGGCCCTCTATGCCAGGTTGTTTTAGTTTTACTTTAAAAACCAACTTAAGCCCTAGCTAGTTTGGCTCAGTGATTAGAGCATCGACCAGCAGACTGATAGGTCCTGGGTTTGATTCCAGTCAAGGGCATGTATCTCAGTTACAGGCTCAATC